CATCTACCTACTGCTTAAGAACAGTAATTAAACAGAAATTAAAGAATTAGAGAATCTCTTCACAATCAATTTGTTTGAGTCGTCTGTTGAATAGAAAATACATGAATTTTTTGTGTCCCTGTGATTGTAACAGCGTTTTTTAGCTGTTTTGTCAACTTGGCTTCATGGCTTAAGGTGTCCTCTTCCGAACAACACACTGCGTGTATTCCTGGTATATTCTGTCTAGCCCATTGGAATAGATCCAAGGGGGTTGTTATTTGATGTTTGTTTGTTTGTTTGTGGTCTCTGCAAGCTTGCGCGCTTGGCATTTCTCTTATGGGTACTACCCACCGCATCACACGGCCCCTTGCCGTGTGATGTCGCAAAAAATGCCACTCTGCTGTGACACCTTTTTCCTTTGCATGATTAGCTAGATTTGCAAAGTTTTTCCGGTTTTTGTATTGCGCCGCGGACCCGTCTGAGAAATAGTACACTCTGCGCACGTCAATCCTGGACTTAATCATAGGCAAGATTTGATCTAAAAAGAAGCTAACAGCCACTGTATCGTGTGTTAAATGATTTGAAATAATAAATACAATTAGGCTTTGCAAAATACCATCATATCTATAATAAGCAACACATGGGTGAATTGTCGCCTGCTGGTTCGTCCAGTGATAATTTTGGACTGCATGAGTACGAATGAGTAGTTTTCGCTGAAATCGCTAATGATAACTACTTCTCCTTCATTAATTGATCTTTGAGATCATGTAAAAATTACGCTTGCTGCTTTGCAATGAAATCATGAGAGCGTAATGTTTCCAATTTCTGACAAAATCGTTCAACAAAATTATCAAAACTCAATATTTTCAATATCACATCGATCCGTTTGTATCCATTGTTTGTACGTGACAGTATCAGTGCCATTGTCTTGAAACATGCTCGTTAGCTGTTTTTTGATAGAGTCAGTTCCAGGGCAATCCTCACATTCCCCCAAGAAACACATTCATGCTATGTAATGGCGGTAACTGACTTCTTCATTCCTATGAATTGCATATATTATCAACTTTATATTTTTGTGAATTTGACATACACAGACACTATGTGTTCCTGCACTTCCGGCTAACACACACTGCTTAGGTCTTAGTTCTGCAAATTTGGAAAATCCTATTTTAATTTCTGGGTGTTCAGACTGAAAATATATGTAAAGCTCCTTCAGGTTGCCTAAAAGTAGTCTTTTCTCTAATGCTACTCTTTTCCCCTCTTCATGAATGAACAGACAAACAATCCTTTTTCCCTGGCATTATTCTGCTTACGGTATTATACAGGTAGAATTTAGACAATATCACAAGCAATCTGGTCCAAAGTCTTTGCACTTGGCTTCCCATCAGGAGTAGACATTACTCCCTTCTCATCCTGCACCCTTTTGGCGGTGCGTGCCATCAAATTGCTGCACTTAAATTCAGCTTCAATCTTTCGCACACTCCAAGTTTTTGGCATCAGTTTTAGTATCTGGATTTTCTCACTTCTAGTCGAATTATTTGTAAATTTGTGTATCAATTGCATTAAGATATTATCATCGTCACTTTCCTGCCTTATGTGCTTGAAACGCTGCTGCATAAATTTTGTAACTTGGAATGGCCATACTCCTTTCCCTTCATACGTTTTGGATCAAGAGGGGTTCCACCATAATTTGAAAGACTTCATCTACAGTCCGTTTCAATACATTTTCTCCCATGGAGGTGCTTGCAATTGGAGCATCTGCTATGCTCTGAATGGTATCATCAGCCGATTGGTCTGGAACACAAATGGTAAGGGGTATCAAACTGTGATCTAGGATTGCTTCTAGAACACAGTGGACAACGGTATCGCTACAAACTACGCTTCCGTGATAATTGTAATCGACCTTCTTTTGTTATGAAAAATGAACAACAGTCTAGATCCATGATCAGCGCCACAGGGCTGCACCCGTATTCAGGTATTAGGCCTCACACCAAATAGCCACCTGTCTGCCCTCAACTGATTTTGCATGACAAAAGGCCGATTCCAATAACCACTGAAGTTTAGTTTATGGCGAATACGGCGTCGTTAAATAGTGTATCGTTGTCCACTGTGGAAAATGGTGAACTAGGAATTAGGAAGTGTTTCTGTCATATAACCACAAACAGTGTGAATGAAAAAAAGATATTTTACAGGTACTGCGCTACTTCTTTGAGAGTTTTTACCCTTGCATATAGATTTGCTCACCTTCACTGCAATGCAGATGGAACAGTACCAACTGTGCGTAGACGTCCCCTACCAGAAATAGAGAAACCAAAACAAAATATCACAGAATGTAAGTTAGGATAGTCATGAGTAGATTTTTCATATGATTGAAAAACAGTTACTGTAGACCTACAGGATTTGGTATACAGGAGTTGGTGCTGAAGTTTGTTACCACTTGTATTGTAAACTTGAATATTATTAAGAAAAGTAAATGAAGAGAATAATGTTGGCAGCATGTGCAATATAAAAAAAAACAATTGTAAAAATAAAGAATAACAATTTTAATAGATGCATAACATTGAGAACATTATTACAACTATTAGTATTACTAAATTAATTATATAGCAATATATTTGAAATATAAAATTATATTACTTGTTTATCAATCTTTTATTTATAATGCTGTATGTATTATTAAAAGGTTGCTGATACATTAAAGGTAAATAAATCCTTTTATCCTCTGTTTGAAAAACATTTTCATAAGATATGAAATATTTTTTATGCTATGGCCTTTCCAAATACAAAAAGGTCTACACAAGATGTGTATACTGTATGTATAATTCCTTATGTACATTCAGGGCCGCCAAGAGGGGAAACTGTAACAGGCGCAAGGGTTGGTGTGGGCCTCCAGTTATGAGCGTGAAGCGCGAGAAAGATTGCGTGAAGGCGCAAACAATTTTTTTGATGGGGCCCTGTCAATCTGGAGGAGCCCAATATTAGGGGACCCATGACATTATTGAGGGCCCATGATAGTAATTATTTTTGAAAAATATATGGGGAAAAAATGCTACCTGCAATTTTTATGGGCCTTGGTAAACTAGGGCCCTGGGGATCTTTTCCTCCTCTCTTGGTGGCCCTGTGTAGAGATTCAAGCTATTTGTGTTGAATTTAAATAAAAGATGTATGTTAGATGTATGCCGTTGCAAATTAAATCTGATCATTATGTTTCAATTACAGTATAAAGAAGCTTCTGTGTGTGTGGATTTTTTTTTTGTCATTATTTAATTTGTTTTAATATTATTATCTTTACTGAACATATTTATATACAAAACCATGTTGATTGGTGGATGGATGGATTGGGTTAGTTAGTCCCTTTATATTTTAGTCTCAGATCAATGTACAGTAAATATGGCTCGATAGCAGTACAGTAGATAACTTTAGAAAAGAAATAATACTGTACACTACATGAAATGCACTGGTTTAATGCCTTTTTGTTTTTTGATTGTAATTCTGTTACATAACGTTGTCAACCACCGCGTGCTGAATGGTACAACAATGTTACAATTTTAATACTGCATACGCAGTTTACAAAAAAAAAACAAATATAGATTTATATAATTAAATATGACTGGTTCTTCTGATTGTGTACATTTCTAAAATGTCCAGTGAGAAACATCGAATCTTATATAGCGATTATTTTAATTTTCATATGGCCTGGATGGTATAAGAATTAGTCAAAATATCATTGACAGATTTAGATAGCCTCCTGACTAGGCCGGTGACGGTATCACTACCTGCTTGTAGGCCTCCCTAGGATACGCCTCCCTAGGCCTATTTGTACTCGAACCTGGGAGGGAGAAACCAGATTGTGGACTTCAAGAAAGGGAAGGCGTGAAATCCATGTTGAACCAGGTATTGCCTAAAATAATTAATATAAATGTAGTTTCCTAATTTTTAAGTCGAAACATTCCTGTGACCTTACCCCGATTTGCAAGAACAAGAAGAATCGATGAGATTTTATGCTGAAATTTCGATGTGAAACCATGGAGATGAATAAGACTTCCGCATCAATTGCCAGTAATTTCCATCAACTTAGTGTCATTATTTTAATTATATGAATGTATACTTGCAAATAGTAATTTAGACCTCTTTTTAAGACACTTTCTGATACATTTTTATGATTCGGCAGAAACGTAAAACAGATATTGCCCGGAATACCTAACAACCACTCTGTGCCCACGACCGCACAGCCAGCCATGTTTTCTTCTACAAAATGATGTTGTTTGTGGGACCTTAGCAACAATATCCAAGGGGCGGGGCTTAGCGGAAAGGTCTATTAAAGGCTCCCTATAGAGTATCATAGCTGAGTGCACTGCACTGGTATACATTTCTGAGTTTTAAAACATATCAACAATCCTTTTCCTTTGAAGTCTGCTTTTCAAATGCTTTTCCTGTGATTCCCAACTTACTGTATAATACTAAATTTGTCTCCTAAAGAAAAGTAATTTTAATGGTCGTGATATAAAAAAAGCAGTAATAACTTTTTGATGACTATATTTATATCAATATAAAATATAATTATTACATTATTAAGTATTATGATGTATAACTTTTGTAAAGGTGTTTAACACGTTGACTTCCAACTCATTTGTGATCCAAGATCATAAATGGGCTGTAAACTCACATCGCGCTGAATTGAGAAACCACCTGCAATAGCCAGAATAGGCTGTAGAATGTGAATTGGGTTTTTGTGTAATAAATAAAGTATAAAGTATTAATCTTACTAATTATGAAGTTTCAGTTTTAAATTCCAAATGTAAAAAGTAAAATTTAGCCATTTTCATGGGAGTTAGTTCAAAAATAATAGAAACCCGCTGAAAATAAAGGCATTTTTCTCCAAACTTGATTTTTAAAAGTTGACAAGATAATATTTATTCAAACGGTCAAAACTTTGCTTCCAGACACTGGATTGAGTTCATTTAACTGTTATTTTGAAGTAGAAGACATGTTCTATGCCATCAACAGCTCTTTTATGACCTTGAGTCATAAAGGGCACCATCACAATGAATATAAATTAATAATACAATAGTGGTATGCTGGACAGGTGCGGACATGAACTCGCGTACTTGGTGCCCCGAATGACCCTGTCGGACATAAACCTACGTTTCTGACAGCGAATTTAAGTATTAAAAGAAAAGACAGTCCTCTAATTCTATTCATTATAACTCAGTGAATGGTGCTATGATTCATAAAAAACCGCATGAAATGAAATCACAGCTATGAGCTATGAATACTATTAAGACTACTGCAAAATAAATCAAACCAAGAGTACTGAATTCTAATATCAACCTACCGTTATTTTCTCCAAGGACTAAAGAATAAACAGATCGCAGACCAAACACATTGAGAAAATACCAACTTGCTGAGCTGACCCAGGAGGCATCAAGGGAGGCAAGTTCAACCCCTCGTTGCAACATAGGCTTAAAACGCAGTGTAAGAGGAAATGGAACTTTGGCTATAAAGACAGAGAAAAAAATTATTATTTTTGTTAAATATAACCTCTGAAGTACGATAATCATAGTAAAAATAACAATGTGCACAAAAAACACCAGAAATGACATATCATTAGAAATATCATTTATATTCAATATAATTTTTTCCTCAAAAGCATAAGCCTTAAACACAAGGTGCTTTTATTAGTAAAATATTTATATTTCCCTTACTAATAACAAATCCAGAGAATGCCCAGTTGATCCAACCTCCAATAATAATCATTGGCAGAATATTAGTCAAATTGCCTTTCATCATGTCTGTCATCATGCTGGGATCTAAAAAAAAAAAAGATGAATTTGATAATTGTGAACATTTATAGAAAAGCCTGGTATCATTTTCTACAACTCACACAAAATTCATGTTCTACAGCCTATTATGGCTATTGAGTGCGCAGTGCGAGTTTACAGCCCCTTTATGATCTTGGATCACATATATCTATACATCATGCTGTGCTGTTATTTTCCGCATCATCAATCCTAAATCATCAATTTTTTTTTGGAGATGGTTTCTGTCTAAGAAATGCCCAAAATCAAATATGACACTCATGGCGCTATTCAAATGTTTTATCGGTTATATGCAGCACTGAAAAGAAATGTTTTTAGCATTCTCTTGAAACTTCCAAGTTCCTGTTTCATCATGATGTCGATGGGGTGACTATTCCATACCGGTGCTGAGGCAACAATAAGAGTGTCCTTCCCACCTGGTATTTGATGATATTTTAGTGATCAGTCCAAGATTGCATGATTTAAGTCATGCTTGTGATGACTTATATGTATTCACAATACTACAGTCAATTAAATCCAAAATGCCATTGAAAAAATGTTTGGCTCGGACAAGATTTGACGAACAAATTGTTAATGGAAAACACAACAATTTGGCATGTAAAATAAGTAGGACTTTATTTGAGTTAGGCAAAGTCAACTTAGGCAAGTTTAACTGCTGTAAGGGTACTACTAGTTGATTAACAATGTTTAAAATTGTAAATAATTTTAACAAGTCCTCCTATCGACATCAAATTTGACAATTCTTCTTATTGAATTCCAAAGTACCTCTTTTGGAACTTGAGTGAATATTAATATTGTGACGGTAAGACGTGTAATTCGTAACAGTGTTTCTAGGTAATCCAGAGGGGCAATTTAAATTTCTGCACGACATGTGCATAATTTCATTTAATTAACAATAGATCGGTGATGTTAATTTATGCAGCATGTGGGATGCGAGTTGCACTGTATAGGAAATACAGTTAGGTTGGTCACTGGAAAAAAAGATCCCTTACCCGGCGGATCGGCACCGTTGTTGTGGAAAGGCATATGTTAGCCAATGCCAACGTTACCTTCCCTTTTTGAACCACTGTTGCTAATACATGACAGATATTTTGCTCATGCGATTGTTTTTGGTTGGTTTGCTCAGCCTTGCATGTTCCGCTTATAAGGGGCAAGAAAAAAAACTCTCTTAATATTATTAGAAAAACATGAATTAGCAAATTTTGTGCTTCTGGATACCAGTGCTGTGTAAAAAAAAAAAATAATTAGGAAAAATGTACTTATTTTTAGTTGCATAGTTTTAAATTAACAGACTATCGTTAATGATTCAAAGAAATTAAATATACTGTATAATGTTAATGTTATATCATAATGATGTACGTAATGAAATTAATCTTTTTTAATAAGTTAACATTATTAAGAATTAAGGAATACAGCATTTGTATTTTTAGTAAGAAAATTGTCATTCTCTAGTTTAGTTTAATTTATTTTATTTTAGTTTTGTTTATCTAATTTTTTAATAATTATTTTTATATCAAATTAAATCACTTTGTATTAATTTCATTTATAATGCATTTTATTTCTGTAACTGTTGTTGTTCAACGTGTATTGAAATGAAGAAAAAAAAAATTTAAAAAGTCCTAGGTAATAATGAGCACTTGTTTATGTTTACCTTACTTTTGTTTTTGAAGCAATAAAGTGATATTTTATAATGTGATATTATATTTACTACTTAATAGTACTAAAATTAAATAATTAGCATTACAAAGCACTTGTCAATTGTAGTGCGGGGATGTAGTAAAATCTCTGTATAAGCCTCGTCCCTAGCCTCGGCATTGCAGTACTGTAAACTTTTTCAATGGTCATCTGGCTCAGGTCTATCAATCTATGACCTGGATCAATCTTATGATAGAGATGGCTGGTACTGTCACTGCATTGTATATCACATTTTGAAAAACATACCAAAGTTTTGAGATATTAGACTTCTGTTTTGAAAGATTAAAACTACTTTTTTGATAAATTCAGACACTGAATTTTGCAATACATTTAGAATTTTATTGTTCTCTATGGCACCCAGCACTCTGATCTCTATTGAGTGATGGCATCCCATAGATGTTGGATTAGAGTAGTTGGGATGACACCATTTAAAACTTTATAGAATATGAAAAAAAGACTATCTTGGTGTATAGGGAATTTTACTTTTAAAAAAACCTAAAAAAGTCACTGCCGTTTGGAGCATAGTGGTTGGCCGGTTGGTGCATGCGGTAACACTGATGTTGAGAGTTAAAATGCTACGCTGTCCCATTGGCTGTGTCGTTAGGAAAGACACTTTATCCATATTGTCTCTCTCCACCATGGTGTATATGTGGGTACCTGGTAGGCATTGTGTCAATAATGCGCTGACTGCTGAATCTGTAGCGGCTGTTGTAATGTATGTTCCACAGGCATTTATTCCGATGACAGTAGTGTGCAGCACATGACGAATAGTGCACTGCAGCAATAGGATGAATGTCTACATCCATCAAAATGGTTATATTGTTTTGTATTTTTTATATTATACTTGTAAGAATATAGGCCAGGCATAGTTCCAGCCAAGTCCCCACTATCAGGGGAGAGGGGATGCCTAAACTATAGTACAATCGACAAGTGCATAATTATACAGTATTTAATAAAGTGTTATGAAGTAAAATTTACTTTACCTGTCATTGGATTTTTCATTGCTGCACCTTCTCTTTTCTCGCTTTTGAAGAATCCTTTTTCAGAATCGTTGAAATAATACTTTCGTATATTAAATGACTGCATAGAAAAGATTTTGTAACTTAAAATTGTTAGTTTTTTTTCCCATCAGACCATTTGGATATATGGCCCTTAGACCACTAGTATAAATTATTGCAGCATTAATGCAGAAATATATATTTTTTTTAATAATGAAAAAAAATTCCAATTTCCAAAATGTTTATTTTTTTTTTATTCCTTTTCAAAAACCTTTGATAATAAAAACAAAAAAATGACACACACTAATTTACTTACATGTTTTGGAATGAAGCGGCCATTTTCTCGAAGACATCGACTTCTTACGAGAGCTTGTCTGTTGAAAGGTAAAATAAATAAAAATAAAATTACACAATATTTTTCCCATAATTATTCCAGCTTTGAAATACAATGCAGTGGATATAAATTGCTGGTTTGTATTTGTACCTACAGTAAACAAAGGGAAAATTCAATTATAGCCTGGCTTAGGTGAGCAGTGGCGTAGTTAGAGGTTATGGCGCCCGGGGGCAAGAGTAGAAAATTTCGCCCCCATTCTCTCCATATTCCATTGCTGTTTGGTATTGTGGCACCACCGAGGCTGAACGAAATGACCTCCGACGTATTGTTAAATACGCCTCTCGTATAATCGGTCACAATGAGGATGATATTGAGGACATATTTAATGCCAGAATGCTTAAAAAAATAAAATGTATAACTGAAGATCCAACACACCCTGGTAACTCTCTCTTTGAATTGCTCCCCAGTGGGAGAAGATATCGGTCAATTTATGCTCGAACGAGCAGGTTCCAAAAGAGTTTCTTTCCGTCAGCCATCCGGGCCCTCAACAATAGCATTTCATTGTGTCCGTTGCTCTGATAATTCACTGTTTTTCCATTTGTTCATTGTTTGCCGAATTGGACGTTGGTCCATGTTAAAAAGAGCCACAATATTTTCTATGTGATGTAATGTATGTGTTGCAAATAAATTGAATTGAATTGAATTGAATTGGTTGTATAGACTTTAAGCATATTCGTATTGTACGTCCATATCATGCACTGTCTAAATAACATTATTTAAACCCGAATAACTATTATTATTCTAGCTCTTGTATGTTCTTTCTTAACAGGGATGGCACCAGGATTTGCCCAAGGAGGTTCCGAGGTTTGGGGGAGGGGAGGCAATGCCCCAACGAGGGGTAAAGGGTGATGCCCCGACGAGGGAGAAGATCTCCTTGACGAGGTCAAAGTGAGCATGATCGAGCGTCGCTTTAACTTCCAAAAGTGGCCTTGAGGAAAGGGGGGACAGAAGCCCCCAAAAATTTTGGACAATTTATGGGTTTCAAAGGCTTATTTAATCAATTATAGAGTCTAATAATATGTACTGTACAAAATATATATAAGAATTATGGATTTTCCCTCCGACGAAGAGGGATGGGTGGGCTGGGGGCGCAGCTATCCCAGAAAGGGGCCCTGGCGCCATCCCTGTTTCTTACGATTGAAACTGCATCACAATGTTCAGAACTTTGTATACAACTTTTAAATACCATTATCCTAATTTGTAAGGCTGTTGTATTTATCGCATACATCTTGAGTTTTCTTATTCTCTAACTTTATCTTATAGTAGAGTCTTGTAAGTTGCTGAATTTTCAACATCGTTTAAACTTGAAACTGAATTTTGTGTGCTTTTCAATCAGCAAATATGTTAATAACATGATCAGTACTGAACATGATCAAAGTTAGCAATGTTGTCTGCTTCATCACGCTGAATACTAAGTAGTGCCAAAGCAGATAGTCTCGCTTTTCCCATCGTGGTTCTGAGATATGGCAAAATGACCTTTAGTCATGTAGTCATTACAGAATAGAATACAAAATGGACTGAAAAGAAATCACAATCTATACATTTGCCAATAAAAACAACTACATTCAGATTCTTATTTATTAACTGGAAAATATTCATGCCTGACGAAATACATCAATTTCGTCATGTTTTTCTAAAAAGTGCTTATTTTTTATTCTTATTCTCCCATTTCAGCGCCCACCCCCCCCCCAAACCTGGCACCCGGGGCATGTGCCCCCTTGACCTACCTATCTACGCCACTGTAGGCGAGACTTTTTTATACTTTGTTTAGCGAACCCGCTGACTGCAAATATTGATGATTTCAAATAAAAATAAAATTTCATTTTTACAATTAAAGTGGGTGTAGGAATGTAATATCAACCTCATGCCTATCTGGGTAATATTCCTTGATGCACGCTACCCACCAATGGTTATGATAAGCTGCTGTAACATATCCACTTAAGACCAAACCACTCAGAACTGTGGTATCTGCAGTAAGAGTTACTAGTTTCTGTCTTTTCTCGGCTGCAGATGAAAAGGATCGAACTGTAACCACTTC